ACGCTTTTTTGCAAGCGGTATTTCGGTAATTTGGATTTTAAAGTGGTAAAGTGGTTGCGGTATCATTTATATTTAGCCCTGCGGTATGCGGTATTTCTTCCTTTTGGTTAACGGTATTCGGTAAAAGAAGATCATGGTATTGCGGTACTGTTCATTGCCCTGTTTAATGCTAGCCTGCGTACCAGGCACGGTTTAGATGACCGCTCGCGTGTCTCCCTCGCGCGCGTTCGTTCTCTCTCGCGCCCACTACTTCCAAGCGCCTGCTACGCAGTCTAGTTTAATGCACGTCAGTATTTTTAAGACTTTAGATTAATGGTAAATGATTACCATTACGCAATTTCTGACAGATAATCTGTGATGAAATTGGTAGGGTATCTTTTTCGTTCGTTGTACCGATCAATTCGAGGCCGTCTCACGTTTCCTCGCAAAATTAAATTAAATTGATTAAATACCTCAATACCGTGAGAAAAATTGGTAAATACCGAAATACCGTGTCAAAAATCGACGAAATACCGATACCGCATTTATTTTCGGTATTGGGTACCTACCAATGTCCCCCCTAGCATGGCGCAACTTCGTCACCTTTCTTCAGGTCCGCTGACCCCTACACGCGCTGACCCGTAACGTCCGTTGGAATGTATGTAACGAAATACAAGCAGCCCACATTCAAAGTACTTGGAGACTAGCTGAGGCTGAATTCATCATCATTAATAGCAAAAACATCAAACTGTCTCATTCACGATTTCTGGTGATAGAAAGACTGTTTTTTTTTTAACTTATATTTCACGTATTTGTTTGGATCCCGCTGCAGTTCGGACAAATGAACGCTGTCACGCGACAACATTTCCAAGATTCAACTCTCCTTAGCAGATGGTAATTTCGAGTTATTCTCTTTTTCTGCGAATCTTTCATTTTCCTTTCTCTTTAAATTCTATATGCTTCTATTTAGGATGGTTTTGAGCGCCTAGCAAGGCTTAAAGTGGCGTTTACCACGCTATCCTTGGCCATATTGGCAACAGAGAAGTGTTTCGACGAAGTGGCAACTTAACGGTAAATAAGGTAACTTTGAACGGTTTTTGCAACGTCAGTATACTTTGGCCGAAAAATGTTTTTCCGAAAACATGATGTATATCCCTCCAATGTCTGATTCATCACTGTGATTGCTTTCAGCAGCGTTGGACTTTCGAGAAATTATTATTTTAAAATCAGCTCCAACGCTCCATCTAATTTAATATGCAATATTTGAAAATTTATTTTTTATTCCCTTCGGCAGTTTTTCGGTGTTTATCGAATGATATTGCATTAAAAGGCCCTTTTCTTCATCACTGTGTGGTTTTCTCGTTGTTTTGCGTCGCGATAGTGATTTCTGAACCGTTTTTTGCGAGAGCTTATTTTAGGCCTGATTTTGCTGCTGTCAGACGGAAAAAGTTTGCGGCTCGATATTTTTGGTTTAAAGCGAAACTGAAACAAAAGAAATTCATTTTTGAATAGTATTCGGTAACCTCTACTTGGGAGATAAAAATCGGCCGATTTTATTTTTTAGCCGGAAATCATCGGTCGTTTCTTAGGCGCAGGGCCTCTTAAGTTGATCCGACCGATGACAAACAACACTCTACAACACCGCTTATTAAAGATGCCTTTCGCTGTGATTATTTTGCCGTCATTACTTAAATAGGTCAAGCGTTCTGCACGATCTTATAAATATCGACGATTGCTACGTCGATCTTGAATATATTTTGTATAAAGTCGTCACGGCAAAATGTTGTGGATCACTATATACTGTCACTTTCACTTTGACGCTTATTCCTTGACAAATCCAAAAGTAATATACCTCGGGTCTTTAATGCTCATGCCCCAACAACAACACTATACATGTCATATACTTCGTTCTTTATCCACCAACCCCAGCTAAGCCTTCTTAAGTCGAGTCAGCCATTCTTGTTTTACCGTATCCAGCGACTTCGGGACTGCCACCGCAGACTAAGAACATTGTTATACCTAGTCCACTGCCAATTTACTTCATTGGGGACTATGGACGGCGAACATAGATAGGTCAGTTGCGGGTTCCATCAATTTGAATCATTTCTGACTGAGAAACCGAAAAATGGTCATAGTTAAACCTGATTGCTTTACCTTACTAGCACCTTAATTTCTTCTTTCGTGGCCTCTATCTGATTGCCCAAAAAGTACTTAATTTAAAAAAAATCTTTTCAATTAATACTAACAATGTAATAAAAATGAGAACTGGTCAATAATTACAGCCTGAGGGTTCGAACAGGTTTTTGGATTTAGACTTGAACACTTTTTGCTCTTTCATAAGTTCAACAAGGGAAAAATCAATGTCGGACGAATCCACATGTAATCGATGTTCTTTAATGCTCATGGACCCAACCAACAACACCATAAATGTAATATACTACGTTCTTTAATCCACAAATCCCAACAAAGCTGTTGAAGACGAAGCAACCATTGCAATTTTATTAAGATTTTTGGCGACTAACGGACTGCTCACCGCTGTAGCAGCACACTTTCACGTACCTAGTCCATTTTCTACTTAATGTTAATTTGAAAATTGTAAAATCGACGCAGTTCAAAAGAGTTTTAACCGACGTTTCGGCAATGCTGCCTTCTTAGGGGTACAAGACTAAATGAGGCTATTTTTGTACCGTGAAAAAAGACAGCATTGCTATTACGTCGGTTAAAACTCCTTTGAACAGCGTCGATTTTAATCAACTCTCATTTTGGCCGAGCGCGACCTCGGGTTTAGTTTAGTTTTACAAAATTCAAGATGGCGGATCAATGTGCAGCTACCGAAGGTGAACTAAATTTTCATAAAAGATGCACTGAAGCGAGAGAAATCAAAATTTCAGCGGGGAATTTGGAACGAACATACCCTAAAGGATTTAGGCAAGACATTCCACGAACTGAATAGGCTGGCTGAGTCAGTTGTGAAAGGGAATTTTGGCGCGCTTCGCGAGCGCACCAATTACTACAGGATCGGCGAGATTATGTCCTATGCTTTAACGATGCATGGAACGTGCAAAGACCGCAATTATTCACCGTCTTAGTCCAAAAATGAGCATAGTGCATCCGTGGATGATTTGCTTTGACCTTCCCATGCCTCATGAGGTCTTTGATCTCTTGAACAAGGAGATTCTTGGTCTGACAAGATTTGGGATAGATACACCAGGTTCAGTGACTACAACATTTTCAAACCTGAGAAGATTATCTTATCTCTTCGACCAGTTCCAAGATTGTGGTGGGTTTAGAAAGCAACTTGGTAAAGGAAAAAGAGAGGCAAAGCTTATTGTGAACTCCGAGAAGAAGGAAATAATGGTCTACAATGCTAAAGAGCAGATTTTGAGAGCAAATTTTTTTATGGATACTGGAATTCGTATGGGATTAGTCAGGATTAGTCAACAATGAAAAGAGAATGCAAGGTTGAATCATACAGTAACAAGTATTTCCCTAATACCTCACTGACAAAAACCTGTCAACCTTTGTGCTTAGATGATAACAAAAAAGACAGAATGCCTACCATGGATCATTGCAATTATTCCTTATGTTTCACAATTTTTTTGAGAAATCCCGAAAATTGTAGAAATCCCAGTTTTTGCTGGGCACCCTTTTACCTCCTGTAACACTTGACTTAATTAATTTTAGCAAAAACTGCAATTTCTCCAATTTTTTGCAAGTTTTGGAGAAATCGCAGAAATTGCAGAAGTCGCAGTTTTTGCTGGACACCCTTCTACCTCCTGTACAACTTGACTTAATTAATCTTAGCAAAAACTGCGATTTCTCCAATTTTTCACAATTTTTGGAGGAATCGCAGAAATCGCAGTTTTTGCTTGACACCCTTGTACCTCTGGTAAGTGTTGACTTATTCATTATAAGCTAGAGGCCCGATTTTATTGCTCACACCAGGACACCCCTTTTCCATGGTGACAAACGAGCCTTGCGGTCAGGCGCTCAATGCGGGTGGGGGTGTGAAAGTCGTGTCGAAGGGGATTGACTGTGACAGCACCTTTGATCTTTGGAATAATTATTTCTGAGGGGTGTAAGAAAAATTGGCTATTTCTGTTGGGGGAGGCAGGGGTACTGTGTCAGTACCTTTGATCTTTTTTTCTTTTCTTTTAGAACTCATCAGACACTTCGATCTTGCTTTCCAAACGCAACGTAAAGGCACTTCGGTCTGTGGTGTTTGATAAAGTTTGAAGCCTCTTTGACATCACCCAAATGCAAGATTTTCCTGGTTATGAAGTTTCTCTTGAAAGTGCCATAACATGGATTATCAGGGAGTTGAGATTACATGGTGTGCAGAAAGAAATAATTGACCTAAGCCTCAAGCTTGATGGTAGGCCATTTGCAGGTGAGAATGCAATCTTTACTAAATACAGTGTAACTTATTTCCAGATTTCTTTATTGTATTTTGCAACAACTGTGTTGCACTTAAGAAAGAAAAACATAGAAACAAAATCAACAGTGAAAGTGGGTTAAAAATTATGACACGAAGGGACATACAATAGTGTCCAAATTATTTCTTAACTGTGACTGAAACAAGTTCATCCTAACAAAACTCTGTGATCTTTTATTATGGGTGTAGTCTTGGACTGAAATAGTCTTTTTCGTCAGTATTCTTAAACATTTACTGTTCCGTATCCATAATTTTCACTTGAAAGATATTCAGTCATAGATAGTGCAGAGATAAAAATTAATAATGTAAAGCAGGGTATATAATATATGGGAGTTTAAAACTTGTTGTCCATATTATTGTTGTCTGTATTAGGGAGTAAATTTTAGAGAAAATACATGTGCTTTTTGTTGCAACAAATCCGTTAAATACAGGTGTCTGTATTAAGTTTGAGGGGGGGGGGGTAACAACAAAGTGGCAGGGTAAACATAACCAAACACTTTGAACTCTAGGTCATGAAGTGGTGCTTAAATTTTTGAAATGCCTTTTTTTTTGTTTCCTATCATCAGTAGGGCACAGTCAGGTCCTAATGGGTGTAGTCCCCAAAGACACACCATTCGTGTGTAATCAGAGCTGCAAATCAGTGTGCCCTTTAGATATTGCTAATTGTAAGGAAGACAGGTATGTTGTATTTAAATTTGATTCATTAGTCAAATAGTTATTTGTTTCCAAAATAACTAGTTTTGTTAGTGAAAATTTTTATTGTACCTTTTTGACTGTGTAATTTTTGGTTGTCGACCAGTTATACATGCAAGCTGAAATAATTTGTGGATTTACAACAAATTTATCATATGAGGCCTAAAGGCCCCAGTAAATGATCATTTTTGAAAATTCATTTACCGCAAAGGTCTTAATTTATTAGTGGGCCACTCAAACCCGACCTTTATATGTTTTCAAGTCTTAAGAACTATCTGCCGTAGACTAGACTAGCAGTATGGTATTTCATTTTCCTTTTTTTTTTTCATTTTAGTAATAACTTCAGTTTACTGGTAACTTTACTTTTGATTATTATTAGGAAAAAAACCTAAAAAAGCTGATTGTTAATGTCAACAAACAAAAGGATGCACTAAAGAAGAATGGAATCACAGTGGATGGAGTGCATTATGCTGTGAGATTTAAAGGTAAGTTTCACATAATAATTAATAAGGTATTTTTTAGTACCATAATTTTCAATCCAAATGCCTGCATGCACATTGACCTGTTTTTAAAATTTATATCTACAGTTATACTTGACCTGAAGACCCTCTATTTTTTGCTGGAACAAATAGGGAAAGAGAACTTTGGGAAACAAGGAACTGAAGTAGAGTGTTGCTTTATATGCAAAGCATTGAGAGTATGTGGATATATTCAAAATCTCTGAGTCAACAAATTCTACTATGCAGGTTTTGACCTTACCAATGACCAACTTACTAATATAGTACTATTAGATTTTCAGTTGTGCTGGGTAAAATTTCTTAGAAAAAACTAGCTATGAATAATGGCTATTTTTATGGGATGTTGCGATCTTGGTCCACATACAGTTTGTTTGAAACACTTTAGCATGTCCAAGGCCAATATTGGAGGGTAATTTAATTATAATTTTGGTTTACTAAGAATTCTCCGATGATACTTGTTGAGGCATGCAGCCCTTGATTATTCATGAATTTCAGCATTTGTAGTTGTCATTTTGAATTCACAGTAACTTCTAATTATAAAAGGCATTCAAAACATTAAGGTTATCTCAATACGGTTAACCTCTATTCAAAAAATTAAATTCCCTGGTGTAGTGAGTGAATCCCTTCATCCCAGCATTTATAGCTTAACAAGTATGTTTTCTATAAAAGACTCACTTTTTATATAGACCTCATTTTAGCAATAATATTTTGTAAATTAAGCCTTGCCTTTTGCAAAAGGGGAAGTTCCACAGCATGGAAAAGGAAGCAACAAGCTTTTTTTGGAAAAACATGATGTTTAATGCCCCTGTCTATAAAATGTTGGCAATCATCCTTGTCTTGTTTTCCTAGAGAGCACATATTATTTTCCCATAATAATATACCACAGTCTTCCTTTACTGTAGGTGTGTCAATGTTGTAGGGGCACTGTCATAAGAGACTGAAAACCTGTCGAGTAAAATACTTGAGTTTGAAATCTATAAAACTGTTAAGTACCACTTCAGGGGAGATATCCCCCACAACTAACAGAATAATGAATCTTCTTTTTTCTAGTTTCAAAGGCATCCGTGATGACTTAGAGTTCCTTCTTAAAGAGGATTTATCGTCTATTAATCTCTGCGCCCTTCACTGCGAACTTAGAAATACCGACGAGTTGTTGTCATCATTGGGTTTGTTTTCGTACAAAGTGGGTTCACTTGATGAATGTAATGCCGAATTGGCAAATTATGGCCCTGAGAATTTTAGCAGCAGAATAACAGTGAAGATGAAGGAGGGCCAAAAAACTGCTGTTGAAAAGCACAACATTCAGGTGTCTTCATTTTCAGGTACCTTCTATATTGTTTCATTTTTATCATGATTGCTTTCATTCCCTTTATCCACTTCAGGGCTTTTACTTTTGTGCTGTAGCAGCTGCTTGAGTTTCATTTGTACAATACCTTGATCCTTAATATGAAAACTGTAACACTGGTTTGTAATGAAGATGTCATTAATTTGTGAATTTAAATCCTGTTTGTTTCTTTCTGTACTATTTTTCCTGAAGGTTCTACTGAACGTGAGTTCCTCACAAACATTGAAACGATTGTCAGGAACTCCTTGCTTCGTGACAAATTGAAGTCATATTTTGCTGATCCAGAAAGTGCTAAAGAGGCACTGCTGAATAAAGTCACATTATTTTTGCACTGATAGAATCAAGGTATGGCTCAGGATATCACATGATTTGAATCTTTCACTTAAACCAGTGCAACACAATAATATTTTTTGTGTAGTATGTAGAAACATACACTGAAAAAAATGGTTTAAAAAAATGTTTAAAATATTCAATGAATTTGTAATAATTTGTTCTAGTACTATCAGGACATGGCTATTCCAGACACATTCACCAGAGACTTTGGTTCAAAGCAGGAGACTATTACCCTCACAGGTTCAGGTACATGTTACAATCATTATACTGTTATTTAAAACCTTTCCTTCCCATTGACTGTGATAAACCAGACAGTTTGAATTAATGACTGCATTTACATCCATCTACACTGGAAGTTGTGATAGGCTAGCTAACACTGTTAGTATTAATACAACCCCATGAAGACAGTGACCATTGTGTATCAAGGGTACATCATTATTGCATCAGATTACTGCATCCCAACTGAGTGAATGTTCCTTAGCATGTAAAGGACACCCAATGGTTTGTGTTCTTGCATAATAGTCCTCCCTTAAAAAGAATACCCCCTTACACTTCGTGATGTGACTACCTAAATTGTTTTCCTTAGAAACTGGAAAAGAAGTTCAAAGAAGACTTGAATTCTGGCAGGGTAAGCTACGTGAAATCGAGGAAAGATATGTGGAACTGTCAGAGAAGTGTGTTGGTGGGTCGGTTGCTAAAGGGAAACGAGGAAAGAAAAGGCAGAAGGTGGACAATGCTGATCTTTCTCAGCTATCTGATTATGCAGCAGAATTAAGTGTTCTACTAATTGTTTTTAAAGGTAATCAAATAATCAAGTCTTTTTTTTACTTAATTGACACATTGACACATTGGACAGTTTTATGAGAAGTAAGATATGGGGCAAAATCCAGACACGTGAAGTTAAAACTAGTCAAGCTGACTTTGCTTTTTTGAACAAAATTCTTAACTTTAATTTAACAAGTGGCAGTTACAGAACACAGGTCACAAGGGAAGGTCACTGCATGCTCATAAAAAAAACTGAGATAGGCAGTTTCCCCTTAACTTAAAACACCTCATTTCAGATTGTAATTTGGGCTTTTCGTTATTATTCATTTTGATTTCAGGTTTACACCGACTGGAAAGACATTTCTGAAGTTATTAGAAGTACTGTCTTCGAGAAAGATTAGCAAGATTTAATTGACATTGTTGGCGTACAGGTATGTGTCAGGTAATTCACTTTTAGTAAGAGTGTAAAGGGGAAATTCCACCGTTACGGACATTACACTCAGAGAGCATTTTTTAACTTTGATCTCCTGTCCTGTTCACAATATGCAGTATAATTTGTTTCCTTCAAACGTTTCATAAATCACAGGAACTGAGCCTTAAAAGTCGTGATTAAAATTGACGGTTGTTTTAGCTGTAATGTCTGTAACAGGCCTTTCAGTCAAAATCAGAGGGAGCTAAAAATTTGTTCTCTGAGTATTTTTTTATTGTGCAAAAGGCAAGCCATTATAGTGCAATGTGGTTGATACAAAACAGCAATTTAATGCATATTTTTTATTGGCAAATGCTCAAAGTTTTCTTCAGTCACATTAAATTTCTCTGAGGTCTATCTTAACTGCTTTGGTTCCCTAAAAGGTTGTGTTATGGACATTACACCAAGTGTGACGGACGTTACTGTCTGTGAATTTTTTCTTGAAAATTATATTATGTGCATTATGATGCTAACAAATTGCTTATTTCATTTATTTTTATGTGTTAAGTTTACCATCAGCAATGTATAGAAGCCTTGAAAATTAAGTGAAAACAAAAGCTGTTTTGTAATTATAGCTGGTCAGCACATTCCTTTTCAAAGCATTCTCTGAACATTCTTTGAAAGAAAACGACTGACCAGTAGTTTTAATCACATTATGACATCTCATTGTACTCTGAAAGTTACATAAACAAGATGGTTGTCTTTTCTAAAAAAAAAATGTCAAAACAGGGGCTGAAAGGGCCAGAACTTTTAGAACAAGACTCAAAGTAGATGTTGAGAGCTATAAGGCCTATAAGAACAAAGACAAAGAAAGGAAAAGAGTGCAAAGAAAAGGTGAAGCCCTTAGTCCAAGTGAAGTTGCAAGAAGGAAGAAACTCACCCGTGAAAGAGTCAGAAAATGCAGGCAAAGACAAAAAGAGAAGAAAGCAAAAAACTCTTCCCAAGACCAAGATGTATCACAAGCTTACCAAACACCTGAAGCTCTAGGAAAGGCTCTCGGTAAGGTAAGCAGCAGAGTGCTTCCCCAAAGCCCCAGAAAACGAAAGGCTGTGGTTTTCAAACTAGCACATGCTTCAGGTTTTCTTAGGAAAAAGAGGTGCACTAGAAGTAACAGGGGTCTTCCAAAAGAGACGGTAAATCTTGTTAAAGTTTTCTTTCAGCTTGACTCCATCTCTCGCCAAGCACTAGGCAGAAAAGACTTTGTCACTGTTCGGGAAAACAACACAAAACATCATATCCAGAAAAGGCACTTGTTGTGGTCCCTTAGGGAATGCTATAGCATATTCATGAAAGAAAATCCCACCACTGAGATTGGCCTTAATAAGTTTTGCTCCTTAAGGCCAGTGAATGTCTTGCTCTCTGCTGACATGCCTAGAGATGTTTGTCAAAATGCTTTGTGAGAGCCTGCATAAGGAAATAGATGATTTTCCACTGTACTCAGGAAGTTTTGCAGAAAATTTTGTTTGCAACCCTGAGTCAGAAGTTTGCATGCTTGGCAAATGTAAAAAGTGTGCAAAATGCCCCAGCTTGTTGCAAAAAATAAGGTCAAGTGCAGGAAACCTTGATGAGCATGCAACATGGTATCAGTGGGAGCATGTGGAACAAATGGTGCAGGCAAAGAAAGGAAAAAGCATGAAAGGTAAAGAAAATTGAGAAAGTTCTGAAAGAGGGTACTGGTGATGATTTACTGGAAGATCTAGAAGTTCAGCTGCCATCATTCTTAGAACATGTGTTTGTAAAGCGACAACAGGCAAGAATTTTCAAAGAGAAGATGGAACATCTGACAGAGGAAGAGGCAGTGGTGCAAGTTGATTTTGCTGAAAATTTCAGCTGCAAGTACCTGGGAGAAGTTCAGTCAGCACACTGGAGCCAAGACCAAGTTACCCTGTTCACTGTTGCAATCTGGACAAAGTCTGGAGACAAAAACAGCTGTTGTGAATCTCACGTCATTGTTTCAGATGATTTGAAGCATAACAAAACATCTGTTGCCGTGTTCATGTGCAAAGTTGCAAACGACCTTGTGAAGGGGAGACACCCAAACATAACTTGAGTTTGGATATTTTCAGATGGACCAAGCTCGCAGTTCAAGAACAGGTACATTGCCCATTTTCTCCATTTACTTCAAGGTCAAGGTCTTAACATCCAGTGGAACTACTTTGCCACATCACATGGGAAAGGGGCTGTTTATGGTATCGGGGGAACTGTGAAGTGCATGGTTTGGAATGCTGTATCCACAAGAAAGGTGGAAGCAGTCAAAGATGCTTGCTCTTTTGCAAGTGTTGCAAATAAGTTGAGCACATCTGTTGCGGTGACCTTTGTTGGATCTAAAGAATTAGAAGCTACTGAAGACTTACTTGGATTAAAGAAATTCTTCTCTGTTACACCAGTAATCCCAGGTATTGCCAAATTTCACAGCTTAGAACCACTCAGGAATGGCCTTATTCGTTGCCGTACATACTCTTACCAGAGTACCTGGATTGAAATGGGTGCATTGTCCAGTTTTCTGGTTCAGAAAATGAAGACCTGGATCAAAATGATAGTGATGATCAAGACTCTTCCTCTCTAAACAAGGGAAGCAACAGTACCAGCAGTACTGATGAAGACGAGACCAGTGAAGAGAAAGGAGACTTTTTCAGCAATGCTTCAAGAAACAGCCATCACACGTACAAGGACGTTTCAAGTGAGAGCAGTAAGGAAGACAGTAAAAGTCATGATGAAGAGGGTGACTCGAGTGAAGAAGAAGGTGTGACTGGAAACAAAGGTTCAGGTGGTCCAGATGCCAAAGAAAGAGCCAGCAATGCAAATAAAAGTTCAAGTGACGAGGAAGAGATGTCAGAGAAGAAAGATATCCAAGTTCAGCAGGGCCTTCCTGACAAGCTACTATCACCGATATATTCAAAGGATGTGCTTTGTTCAGCCTTCCACATTATTTAGACTGCCAAGTAAATGCAGTTTCTGATGGCTGGATCAGCTTTGAAGGAGGTGGTATGATTCAAAATGATGATCTTAATGGTTTAATGGCAGGGGGAAGAAAATCCAACATAAATGGTTGTCCAACTTTATTATTGATGAATACCTGAGGCTTATTCAAGTGACTTGTGCAGCTAACAACAGTTTGGCAGTTGAAACCTTGCCATGGGAGTTGTTTGAGAGAGCAGTTGGTTCACTACCAGTGCATCGCTTGTTGAAAGGGAGAAATCCACTTCTGCTTCAGGATGTAGTCCTTGTGCCATGCAATACCCCAGAGTCTGAGCACTGGACTCTTCTAGCAGTTCTACCAAAAGAGAAATCTGTTGTTGTCTTAGACAGTATGCCAAGTAACCACATTAAACATACGAGTCTTGATGCTATTTCTAAGATGTGTGGCCTTCTCAAAGAGATCAACAGCAATGTAGACCTGAATCAGTGCAAGCTTATAGTGAACAAAAAGGGAGATGTTCCTGAAAAGACCAATGCCTATGACTGTGGAGTGTTCACTTGCTTGTATGCAAGATGCTTGGTTGGTTATGGTGAGATGATCATGCCAGCATCTCAGATTTCAGGAAGCTCATGCTGTTGGAATTGTATCAAAGAAAGCTACACCCAATCCCACCAGAAGGCATCCTACCAGCTGAGCAGTATTATGCCGTTGAATATGTGGAAACTTACTACATTGGACATGCACTCACTCAAGCTGATAGCTTTGTAAGATTCAAGTTCCTCCATCGAGTGGGTGCAAAGAGTTTTGACTGCAGCCGGGATGACGTTGATGATGTTCACATCTCTTGTGTGTTTTATGGCCCCGTCACCCTAGAGAGTGCTGGCCCATTTGCTGTTCCAAAACAGCAAAACATTGAAAAAAAGGTTTAAAGTGACACAAAGAAACTAGTGAAATTTTGTTATGGACATTACTCATCTACTTAGATATTTTCTACTAACCAAAAATGGGGAAAAATTGTCGAAAACTATCAAATTTTTTTCTCGTGTGAAAAAAACGCTTATGCTCTAATTATATCTCAGTTTCAGTGGACTGAATTGATTTTGATATTTTGACAATTATTGTTCCTTAACTTGCACCTGTGGGTCCCATGTTTTCTTTGTTTATATGACCTATTGAGTAGTAGACCCCCTGCAGAGTGCAGAAGGGCGAAAACAGAAATGACATGTATGTTTTTAACACAGTGATGTGTCTAAAACTATTACAATAATAAATTTAGACAAGAACGTTAAATACAGCTGTAGTGGATTTTCTTGTAAATCTTTTACCAGAGACCGCGCAACAATTAAAAGCCATTGCATGACAAGAAATTCAAAAATAATTTCCAGTCACTTTAACTGACATTCAAAAACAAAAAAGAAAGAAAGAAAGAAATGCTTAATGAGTGTCTATCTGACAAAGGTACGGCAAAACTTTACATCCAATATTTTAGATTAAAAAAAAACAGATCTAAATATTAGTACAAGATCTATATCAGAGATTTTGACGCTGTTCAAAAAATTTGCAGTCATGTATAATCTGAACCTGGAAATACACTCAGGCTGGTCTTTACAACAATATACAACAAACAATACTTCAAGTTTGATTATAGAATGAGGCACATACATTATTATTTCAAAAGTAAAATCATGTTTATCTCTCCCAAAATGTTTAAGATATTCACAAAGTCCAGGTCACATTCCCCAGGTAATAAGTACAGGTCACTGCTCCATAGATGAATTGCCAAACCACACAGATTCTCCTCTGTCTAATAGAGCATTTTGTTAAGAGTTTAGGGCTTGCAAACACTTTTAATACTATTCATTTGTCTGTATCATGATGAACTGTACTCTGACAGTGTGGAAAAGTTACCTGTATTTTAGACTATAGATAAATTGCCAAACCACACAGATTCCCCTCTATCTAATAGAGCATTTTATTAAGAGTTTAGGGCTTGCAAACACTTTTAATACTATTCATTTGTCTGTATCATGGTGAACTGTACTCTGACAGTGTGGAAAAGTTACCTGTATTTTAGACTATAGATAAATTGCCAAACCACACAGATTCCCCTCTATCTAATAGAGCATTTTATTAAGAGTTTAGGGCTTGCAAACACTTTTAATGCTATTCATTTGTCTGTATCATGGTGAACTGTACTCTGACCTGTGGAAAAGTTACTTGTATTTTAGACCCGCCGTCATTTTAACAGCACAGTCTTCAATGTTGATTTTGACAACTGTTTTAAAACACCCATGGAAATATGCCTCTTTTTTTGTCTTTTAGTGCAAAGAATGGGGATTCCTTTTAAGGGAAGTGTTTGGCTGCAACCTGGGCACTGGTGATTATGGCCACATCACCACTGAACATACCAGTATGCTGTTTAGAAACCACCTCAGCTTGAGGGAGTATTCAAATCAAGGCTTTGAGGCAGCACACTCATACTCATTACAGTGTCAGTTATATTCAAAGGCTACTTCCCATGACAGGCATGCATGGTCATGCTACATCAAGTTAGTTTTATATTTTCCTTTTTCAGTACTTTATTTTTTTATATTATCATACATCTCAACACTACAGTAATTGAAACTAATATTGTCACCTGTACTTAAATATTGTTAGAACTAAACTAGCAACTCTTTTTATAGAAAGGGTAGGAAGCTCATCATGTCATTTTCACATAATGTTTGTCGGTGTATGACATTAGCAGACTGCAGACAGCAGACCGCAGACTGCAGACCACAGATTGCAGATTGTAAATTAAAAGACACCAAAAATCTTCCTAATAAGGGTGATACCATCAAAAATATAACATCAGTAGTCTTTACATTAGCGCCTAAATAAGCTAGGAAATATTTCAAGACTGTAAGTAAATTTTAATATTTACTTCAAGTAAAATATTAAAAGCTTCACACACAACCGATTCTTTTTTACTCCAGGTTATTTTCCCACGCAACACAATTAAGATTGATTGACATGTCTCACCTTTTTCAAAGCTCAAGAAACCGCAAAAACGCAAGTTAGCCAAGTCGGTCATAATGCACCTATCAATGTAATGCCGGCGGGGGGGGGAGGCAGGGCATAGGGTGGGGATTTGACTTTTTTCAAAAAATTTCAATCAAATTCCCTGCCCACGGGCAAATCATTCCAGTCAAATGCAACCAAATTTCCCCACCCCGGGCTGCACATTGCTGTCAATCCAAAGGCAGAACCTAAGAAAGGCACAATAAAAATATCTCTAAATAAAACTCTGCAATCTTTTATAAACGTTGCTGCATCACCAAAGATACATGTTCCTGTTACAGCTGCAATTATATGTTTTAACCATAATCCGTGTTACACTGCGTAGAATACATAAACCTTCAGGAGAAAGTCCACATTTTGTAAGTTTAAATTATACTGTTCTTAGTAAAGGGTACAAAGAAAGTCAGTTTTATCAGTTTACAGTGAATGTAGCGAATAAGCCATACACCGATCAATTGTACTTGCAAACATCGACTTGGTTTCTCTTTACCTCCGTTTACTTTGATACCACAGTACTTTAAGAGGTTCAATTGATCACTAACACGCTAAAACATACGAAATTTGAAGACAAAACAGTGAAATCCACTCAGCCTTTGCTTGTTCTCGTTGGCCTCCATGATTTCCTGATCTTTTCAAACCGTACGGCACATGCGTGAAGCGTGAAAGCGGGAAACATATGTTCGGTCTCAGTCTTTTTCGTCCGAGTCGGCAGTCAAATATCTCGACGTCGGGCGAAGAAAGATTCAAATATCCCCTCCCCTGGGAGAGCAAGATCAGTCAAATGCCCTACCCCAGGGCCAACAAAGACAATCAAATCCCCACCCCATGCCCTGCCCCCCCCGCCGGCTTTACATTGATAGGTGCATAAGGATGGTTTTCAAGTCGCTTGAAACTTTCTTGAATCGTTTCAACTTTCCGACTTTCATGAGATGCAAAGCAAAGTTACTTGAGATTTTAACAAGGCCTTCACGCACAAATTTTTGGTTAAGTAAAACTTAGCAGCTCTTAAGTCTTACTTAACAGCCTAGTGTAAAGACAACCATCGTGTGAAAGTGAGGTTGACATTTTTGCGCAAAGTTACATTGGCCTCATTTCTAAGATGCTGTTGCCTATTCTTCAAAGACACGACTCTTTATTGACTCACCCGGCATATCACTAATTGCGTTATTCTTTATCTTTCTTTGATTATTGTGAATTGATAATGACAAGTAGCAATACCCACTAATGCCTGTCTAATTAGTAGTCTTCGGTAAAAAAAAAAAGTTTTTAGATTGCGAGCACTTTGTGCTCACTACAGTTACGTCGACAAAAACAACTAGGATAGATCAAGGACATTTGACACCTTTTAAATGACGTGTTTCATCTTAGCAGTATTTCAGGATATGTCAAATAATCTAAACCGAACAGATCCTACCTGGACTCGACGAATTACCGGAAGTGCATTTTGAATTTCTAAATAGGCAAATCGACAATGGCTTTTTTGACAGGCCTATCATTGCTTACACTCAAATCGTAGTACAAGGGGGGCGGGCGTAGAATAAGGATTCCGGCGCTGTTTCACAGACAGACTTATACCAGAGTTTAGTTTCGTCTGTGGTGCAGGCTAAATGCTAGCCTGTTGCTATGGATTCATGAGCGAGTTTGTGACATCGGCAGACATTATTCTTCTCTAATTCAATACGAGAAGAACAGCCAACAACTCCTTAAGGAATGAGGTCGGTGTAATTTGCGTGAAAAAAACTTTGCTTCTAGGCCTTACATGTACTTCTCAGAACAAGGTAATGTTGATGATGACGCCACCATTATTACGATATTTTTTAATTTCATTCAATTTACAGTCTTGCTTCCTCATGCAGTCTGCAGTCTGCAGTCTGCAGTCTGCAAATGGCATACACCGTTTTGTGATACCACAGATGATGCATAGAGTTCATAAAGATATGAAAAGCTCTTGAATTTTAGCTACCCTCTTAAAAGCTCTCGAATCTAAGTTGAGTCAATGTAAAATCCTTGAACTTTAAATCTTGTTTTGAATATACCCTTTAATCTGAAGAGCTTTCATTGTTAGCAAAATAATTTTCTGTGGGAGAACATCCATAGGTATTAAAAATACCTTTAGCATAAGTTTTTCATGGGATCCTGCAAACTGTAAACTGCAGTCTGCAGTCACCCATTTGCAGTTTCACTTTGCCTGGATTTTAAAATTTAGGCAGACATTCATTGTTTATCACCAGCTCTAATAACTAGCACATCAAAGGGTGGTGTAGAAAGCTGCAGCTTTGCTTCAGAATGGCTATAGAGAGCATGGAAAATGGTGATTATCTACTAAAATGTTTGCCAGCTAGAAACATTATATAATGGAACTTCTTTTTATGTCAGTCCCTTAGATGTGTAGTCAAATGTATTCTCCCTTATTGAGACAAAACTGAGAGTTGTGTATTCCCATAAAAAGCCTACACTATATTCAATGACAACATTACTATGCACTTTATCTTTTTCTACCTGAATGGGGTGAGATAACATTAATGTTGTCATTCTTCCTCTTGAGCAGTAGAAAACTAACCACATAAAAACTTGCAGTAAGCTTAGAGCTTATTGAACACGGTCTGTTAAAATCTTTTGTTGTTGTTGTTGTTGTTTTAACTGTGACTGGTTCCCTTATTCTGCCAATGCCAATGTTTTTTTTTTGTGTATGTCAGGTAACCCATTCC